GTAGGGGGGGGGGAGGGGCGTTGATGGAAAGTTCACTAACAACACTATCGATAACCATCGTACGTCGAAATATAGTAGTATAATGCTATGATATTGATCAGCACATTCTATCATACGATAGTCGCATATGGTTCCGCGACATATGATATGGTTCCATAACAGTTTACATGATATGGTTTCATTATCCCATCGCCCATCGCATTCACGTCTCCACGCACTTAAAATATTCCGTCATTGGGTGCGTTGATAGCGAGGAGTCATATAAGGAATGCTTTTGCTCAAATGCTTGAATGTATTGCTTGCTCTTCTCATAATATCTGGACGCGGACACTTCATCGTCTGACCTTCAACGACCCGCACTCCTTCGCAAGATTTTATTTTTGCGATGCCATTGTCATTTGAACGTGCAAACATAAAATAAAGATGTCTTCAAACTTCGCACCTTACGACGTACGGCCTCAAGAAATCCGCAGATAACTGAAGAAACGCGTATTATCGCCTCGCTGCAGACGCCTCCCTGTAAAACACACGACCCACTTCGGGCACGAGGCGTAGCGAGGGGGCAGGATATCCGGTTTCGATGCGTGCACGATTCCCGGGGATAATGGCACAGACATACAGCGCGCGGCGTACTGCCCCACTCCAACTCCCGTACAGCAACAGTCGAGCATCTCTCGCACAGCCGCGTAAACTTCTCTATGGTAACGTGTGGGTTACGTGTAAAATATATGCTCAGCGTGCCTGTATAGGCTTCACACTGTAACCTGAGGTTGGCACCAGCTAGCGTAGTTGGGCTCACAACACCCCCTCCTCCATCCATCCATCTCTTTCTCGCTCTCTGTCTCCCCTTCCCCCCCTCTCTCTCTCTCTCTCTCTCTCTCTCTCTCTCTCTCTCTGTGTCTCTCTGCCCCCCTCTCTCTCCTCATCTCGCTCTCTGCCGCTGTCTCCCTCTTCCTCGATCTCTATCTGTCTCTCTTCCTTTCGCATTTCTCAGCGTTCCGTTATGCTCACGCTATTCCGAAGACAGCTATTATCTCTAGGGATCGGGAGAGCGCTATTTTCCCATTGCCACGTAAACGGCAGGGTCAGGCAGTTCCGATCCCCACAAGCACTACATTAATTAGCAGGGCGGGCACAACGTATAATCAAAACTACTCTAAAACGCTCTCAAAATAGATGTAACTATACGTCGACAGCTAACCAGCGATGGCTGCTGCTGCGTTTAACGGCTATATAGCTATAGTGTAAGTTATAATATGCCCGCCATTATTGCCTTTAGGAGTAATATTAGCTCTTGATATATAAATATAGCTAGATATATATAAATATAATATATATATTATTAGGTACATATAGGTTATAGTATATATATTATTTACCTATTTACCTAAATACCCGTAGTATTTTGAGATTACTACATACTTCACATAAAGATTGCATCATACACAGCTCATCATCATTACACACTACAACTACAAGTTTACACAACTCGCGTGTTGGACTTCGGAAAATGTGGAACTGCTTCAATTAAGACTCTAATATTCTCATGATATAATATGTACAAACAAACATTCTCTGGTGTTTCAGCAGAACATGTTGAGGTATTTATTCACAAAATTTCGAAAAACAAATTTTGTCCATTGGATCTGTCACCACCCCCTCTGCCTTTTCCCCTCTATCACATGTCTCGTGTTCAAATGTTGACAAGTTTTGCGATGGAATTAGTGAATAGAAAGCCGAGTGATATCAATCTCCCCCCCCCCCACACACACACATACACGCCCGCTGCCAGGTCTGCCTGCCTGCTGCGTCAGAACTATGCGTGCAGCAGCACCAGCAGCAGCAGCACCAGCAGCAGCAGCACCAGCAGCACTAGCAGCAGCAGCATTGCAACGAATACTCACGTTATAGCATGTATATGTACTCACCATTAGCACCGTATCTAATCTGCCTGATGGCTGTGCTCAGTCTGATATCCAGGCCTTCCGCCAGTGCCATTGGTACACACGAGTAGCCATTTCTCACTGCGAATAACAAAACAGGTAGATCGTTAACATCACGTTTATGTTAACACATGAGACGGAATGCTGTCAATAGATGGAGCCACAATCCACCACTGCTGCGAAGTATGTATGCATAAAGATGGAGGTACATTTTTAGGTACTCTTTATGGAGGTACTCTACTGCGAAGATGAGATAGAGTAGAACTGTAAATGGTTACTACTATACTCCCTCCTTCTTAGCATGCCCTCCATCCCTCTCCTCTTTTTCCCATTCTCTCTCTATTTCTTCTTGCTCCTCCTCCTCTCTCTCTCCTCCCTCTTCTTCTCTTTTTCCCGCATGCTCCCATCACTTCTTCTCCCCCCCTCCCTCCATCCTTTTCTACCATCCTCCCTCCCTCATCCCCCATCTCGTTCCCTCCCGCTATCTCCTTTCTCGCCCTTCTTTCTTTACCGCCCCTGTCAATATCTCTATCCGTTTCCGCTCCATCACGCCTACACAACACGGAACCAGGATATAGCTCGCGTGAGGAGGACCATGGCTTGCGTGGGACCGCTATCAATCACCCAGTATCGCGCAGCTGCTGATGCTACGCCCCCAGCATCCCGCCGTGTGACCGATCATGTGTCGCCCTCCACGACCAGAGATCATCACCACACACTGCCACACATGCTCGCATCCCCGCGGTCACTGCCCAGCAATCTGTCTCCGTGAAGATCGCTATCTGAGCAGCATCAATCGTCTTCCCACTATCCCCCCCTCGCTCTCTCTCTC